GAGCAAGTTTCCCTGGCTGCCACAGAGGCTATATAAACTCCTGGGGCATCACAAAATGTAAAAACTTAGTCTTTGTCCCTGGTTCCTGGCACAGAACTCCAAAAATCCTTGGGATTCCAAGTGATAAGAGTGTTGATTGTATGCTAATGAGATGACCCCAGAATGCTTTAGGATGGAAGCTATTTGCCAGGAAAACCAACCATATGCTTAGAGGGTTACAACGTTCAGGTCTGCCCCTCTGACAGCTCTGGGGAGGGGAGAGGAGCTAGAGATTGAGTTCAGTGATGAACTCAGTGGCCAATGCTTTAATCAATTATGCCTGTGTAATGAAGCTGGAATAAATATTCTTGAATAAGGACTGAGGACCTTCTAGATTGGTGAGCACATCAAAGTGCTGAGAGGGTGGCCCACCCAGACAGGGTATGGCAGTTCTGGGCAACACCCCACCCCCATATCTTGCCCTATGCATCTCTTCTATTTGGCTATTCCTAAGTTGTACCCTTTATAATAAAACAGTAATCGTAAGTATAGGAGTTTCCATGATTTCTGTGATTTTTTTTTTTTTTTAAAGATTTTATTTATTTGACAGAGAAAGACACAGCGAGAGAGGGGAACACAAGCAGGGGGAGTGGGAGTGGGAGTGGGAGAGGGAGAAGCAGGCTCCTTGCCCAATGCGGGACTCGATCCCAGGACCCTGGAATCATGACCTGAGCCGAAGGCAGACCCTTAACGACTGAGCCACCCAGGCGCCCCCTGTGATTTGTTCTAATGAATTATCAAACTGGGGGAGGAGAGGTCATGGAAACACCCACATTTGTAGTCGGTCAGGCAGAAGTGTGGGTAGTTTGGGGACCCCATTTGTGGCTGGTGTCTGAAACAGGGGCAGTCTTGTGAGACTGGGCCCTAATCCTTGGGGTCTGTGCTAACTCGGGGTAGTGTCCGAACTGAATTGAAGTTGGTTGGTGTTGGAATAATGTATGATGTTAGCAAAAAAACACACAACTCCCAATTATCCTGTAGATTGCAGCTCGAACATCACTTCTTGGGAACACTTCTCAGGCTCCCAAGACTAGCTCAGACTCTGGTTTTCCTTTATAGTGTATATGAAGAGTCATTCCTGTAATTATCTAATCACTGTCTGCCCCTTCAATTAGACTATAAGCTACCTAAGGGCTTATCTTCTGTTGAGTAGTTATTTGTTCCTAAATTTTTAATTAAATATCCAAAGCTAGAGATCCTCTTATATGGTTCTTGTGAGGCCTGAAAGAGAGAATATACACAATGCACTTTCACATACTAAGCATTTCGTGTGTTTGCTATTATTATTGCCCATCCTTAAGTCTTTCAGTTCTTAGTGTACAGTAGGCTGCAAATATGTTAATTTATATACAAATTCAGTTCATCTGATGTAAACTGTATAGCAAAATTCCACATTACAGGTTCATTTTTAGAATATCTTTTCATTTCCTTTAAACGGCATCACGCTAAAGGACCACTTCCAGGTATGATTATAGGCTAGCCTCTGAATGAAGTGAACCCTGTGTTGCTATCACAGATAAGAGCCTATTGCCCAGAAGTGGGTAAAGTCAGGTGAAAACCCCTTCCAGAAAAACCCACGCTTTATTCTTTAAATTTTTTTTTTTTTTAAGATTGTATTTATTTGCGGGAGAGACGATGAGAGACAGAGCATGAGAGGGAGGAGGGTCAGAGGGAGAAGCAGACTCCCTGCCGAGCAGGGAGCCCGATGCGGGACTCGATCCCAGGACTCCAGGATCATGACCTGAGCCGAAGGCAGTCGCTTAACCAACTGAGCCACCCAGGCACCCCATCCCACGCTTTATTCTTATACTTATCTAGAATTATAGAAGTGAGTATGAGATATTTACCAAAAAAAAAATCAAAATATTGAAAGGGAAAGTGTTACTTTGGATTTGAAGTATATATGAGCTTTTTTCTCTTTAAATCTGTATAGATGGCTTATGATATTTAGGGAGAAGAGAAAAATCACCAACTAAAAATAATTGGGAAAGCCGATATGAATTAGCACTTATAAATACTTAAATCCAAATATAGTCAGAACACAGCCTTGCCTTAGAGTCCATTAGAGTCTCAGAAGTCATTTAAAATTGTAAAAGATTGCCTTAAAACCTAATTTATATGTAAGCAGGTGTTTTAAATCAGTGTATTTTTACAAGGTACAAACACTCCACTTCAGGGTGACAGCATGGCACTTGATCAATAAACATTTGTTAAATGAATTCAAGGCTCTCAGCACCCAGCACTTAACTGGACATTTCCTTTCCGCTAGGCATGACGTTACATTTTATGCATACACACATGCAAAAACAAAGAAACCCTCAGAGGTTGGTATTATCTCATTTTAAGCAATGAGGAAACTAAGGCATAAAGTAGTTAAGCACCGTGTTGACGTTCAGAGAGCAATTAATGGCAGAATTAGAATGTGGACCCAAGTGCGTCTGTCCTCAAAGCCCATGCTCCCATACCTACACTGGTGCTTCCCTAATGAATTAATGGAAGGATGCACACAATACAAAGTTAAATCTCAATCCTTTATCATATAAATAAGCTCATATTGAAAGTGAACAAATGAAGCTTATTAAGCACTTAATACGTCCTTTTTCTTTATTTCCCATCAGAAAAGGCTGTAATTCCGCTCCAAAAATTTAAAAAATGAATAAATTAAACTCCCCCCCCCTTTTTTTTTAAGATGTTATTTATTTATTTGAGAGAGAGAAAGACAGAGATAGTGAGAGAGAGCATGAGCAGGGAGGAGAGGGAGAAGCAGGCTCCCTCCTGGGCAGGGAGCCCAATGTGGGACTCTCCCAGGACCTTGGGATCATGACCTGAGCCAAAAGCAGATGCTTAACCAACTGAGCCACCCAGGTGCCCCAAATTAAACCCCCTTCTTAATGGCTTTAGTGCATGTGTGAATTTTACTAAGATGTTATTTACCAGGCAACCATTTTCCTTGGTTTTCCAGTTCCATTAAAGGAGACAAGTGGGAATAAACAGTAAATAGAAGTGATTGATGGAGATGTAAGAATTCAGAGTGGTCCAAACAGGATCTTAGATATTAAACATCTAAAAGGGATGGGGTGCCTCGGTGGCTCAGTCAAGCGTCTGCCTTCAGCTCAGGTCATGATCCCAGGGTCCTGGGATCAAGCCCCGCATCGGGCTCCCTGCTCAGCGGGAAGCCTGCTTCTCCCTCTCCCACTTCCCCTGTTTTTGTTCCCTCTCTCGCTGTCTCTCTCTCTGTCAAATAAGTAAATAAAATCTTTAAAAAATAAAAATAAACACCTAAAAGGGAATGTCTCTTATAATGCTCTACTTATTGCAACTGGTTCAATTTTAAAAATAAATAAATAGGGGCACCTGGGTGGCTTAGCTGGTTAAGCGTTTGACTTTTAGTTTCAGCTCAATTCATGATCTCAGGGTTCTGGGATCAAATCCCCATCTGGCTCCACACTCAGTGTGGAATCTGCTTGAGACTTTCTCTCCCTCTCCCTGCCCTTCTCGCTCTCTCTCTCTCTCCCTCTCTCAAATAAATCTTTTATAAATAAATCAGTTCCAGGAAAACTAACCGAACTCTTCCATGTGCTCTCTAATGGTCTATTAGCAAATCTTAAAAATCACAAAATGGTATGCAGTGAGGTCTTCAGGTATTGAGGCCTGGACAATTAATTAGAAAACTGCCCTTTTCTGAGCAATTTCATCCAGCAAGATTCTGGGGTAACTTACAGTCAAATAAAAACAGATAGATGCAACCACTAATATTTATGAGTTGGTAAGAGCTTGCAACTAAATGGTTATATCTAAGTAGATGCTCTTTAATAGAAGAAAAAGACATATAAAGAGTGTTCATCATCAACATGAGACTGTATGCCCATGATCTCTACTACATTAAATGCTACAGCTTACTGAGATGTAGATGACTTGAAACTAATGAATGTCTATTGTAGCAGGACACCTCTCATTCTGCAAAGGAGAGAAATGAAGCAATCTCCAACTGAAATCACCCAGGTCACCCACCCCATCTAAGGTAACCCTAAGCTGGATAATATTAAAAGCCCAGTACTTATGAATTCTTTCAAAAGTTAAGGATGAAAGAAAATCTACTGTTTACCGGTCCTAAGGTCATATGCGGTTCCTTAGCAACCAGCTTGTCTTTCGTGTGACTAAGAGTTGATGGACAGGGGGGAATGAAAATGAGACCACCAGGACAATTCCAGTTCACAGAGGCAGGGCTTCCAAAGCACTGTGTACCCCACACTATTGTGTTAAAGAATTTTCTTCCATTGGGAAGAAAGAGGATTACTGACAAGGCATAGCAAAATGTTTCGAGGTACCAGCTGGAGACCCTGAACCGAAGACCAAGATAAAAGTTACCTGTAACGGTTCTTGCATAGAGCACCAACCCACGCCAGGACAGGAAACCCTGCAGCCACTCTCGACCTCACCCAGCCTCACGGCTCTGGTCCTAAGAGGTGGTTTATCTGGGAACTTTGTTGAGATGCAAGCGTGCTCCCAGAGGCAGCTTTTGGATCCTCTACCCCCTAACACATTCCTCTCCGCCCCTACCCTGGCATCATTTAGGGCCCGGATTTTTTAAAACAGGAAGGAAAAAAAAAATCATACTAGTTAAAGAGTGTGAGTTCTGGAGATACCTGAAAAGTTAGTAAGAAGCTTAGCGATTTCTACATACATCTTTTCAATCCTGTAGCCAGTCACAAGAATCAAGAAAGCAGTGTTCTTGCAAGGAACTGGAGCTCAGACATTTAGTAAAGACCCGCAGACGGGCACGCTCAGTTTATAAGGTAGTTAATTCCTGAAGGCTTTTCGTGTAGGCAAATGAGGCTGCAGTCTCTCAAAAACCCTCTTCCTGGGCCCCGGGGGTTTCAAACTCCAGTGATCAAGAGAGTGCTTGTGAGTATGTTTGAGGTCTGGGCTCCCGCCCCCAAAACAGGTCGTGAAGTACTTACAGCCGCTGGCCCGCGAGCCCCGGGCTCTCCTGCGCGGGGCTCGGGGGCGCCGCCTCCACCCCGCGTCTGGGACCTTGCAGCCTGCCTGGCTCCGGGCGCCGCCCAGGGGGGTCCCGGGCCGGGCCGGGGGCGGGAGAGGCGCCGAGCCCGGAGCCCACCACCCGAGTGCGGGTGAACATAGCTCTGGGTCCACGGGTCCCGGCGCCCGCTGCGGGAGCGAGGCGGGCTGGGACGCTCGGCGAGTCTCGAGATGCGATTCCGAGGGGCAGGGGCAGCGGTTTTAACAGCTTGAGTTTCGATTTCCCGCTACCCGCTGCAGCTGCGCCCGCCCCAAAGGACTTCCCCATCGACGCTCCCCTCAGGCGCCCTCTGACCTTATCCCCGGTAACAGCTCCCGCTGCGCCGCCCGGGCCGCCCGGGCCCCGGGTGCGGAGGGGAGCTGGCTCGGCCGCTCTCAGTGAGTCGGTCCCACAACCACCTTAGAGCATAGTAAAGACAACTGTCATCAGCCGCCGACACCTTGTGAGCGAGCAGCAGCCGCAAGGGACCTAGAATCCTGCAAGATACTTTAGGGACTGTTGAACAGGTAACCCTAATTTGTGGTTACTGCTGGGTATCTGAGCCCGTGAACCATATATGAACCTTCGGACGCCGGAGATCAGGTGAACAAATAAAATCATCCAAACAAAATTTTGCCTTTATCAGTAATGATTGCCGTTTGGTTGTTGTGCAAATACTTTCAAGTTAAGGAAACTAAAGTGAAATCAAAAGCCACAGGAAACCCACAAGAGGAGAAGCGAGCCCCTGTTATTTCGCCTGTTACCATGGCGGCATTAGCGTTTGCTTACATGTCTCCTACAATGCAGGTCTGGGGAGGCGAGAGACGTCTCTCATTTTTGTATAGCCGGCATTATGACAGTCATGATCAACCCAGTGCACATCAGAATCATACGGGAGCTTTTTAAAAATATGGATGCTGAGACTTACTCCCCGACCTACAGATACAGAGTCTTGCAAATCCATATATGAGAAAGTCCCTATACCATAGTTGAATGTCTTGCACAGACCAGCTATGTAATCAATATTTCTTGAATGTCTGATCAATTACTTAGCAAGGCTGCCTGGAGAATCATTTCTGCCTACTGCTCAGCTTGCCCAAGGATTGGCATTTCTTTTTTTTTTTTTTTTAAGATTTTTATTTATTAATTTGACAGCGAGAGAAAGACAGCGAGAGAGGGGAGCACAAGCAGGGTTTGGGAGAGAGAGAAGCAGGCTTCCAGCTGAGCAGGGAGCCCGATGCGGGGCTCCATCCCCAGGACCCTGGGATCATGACCTGTGCCAAAGGCAGATGCTTAACCGACTGAGCCACCCAGATGCCCCAGGATTTGCATTTCTAACAAGTTTCCTGGAGATACCAATGCTGCTGGTCTTTGGACCACCCTTTGAGACTTTGAGAGGGCCACTGTGGGCAATGTGGAAGGCACAGAAGGGTTTTCAATAGGGAAGTTATGTAATAACATGTTTGAGAATGTTCTACCAGCAATGTGAAAAGGAGACTGAAAAATGAAAAGACTGAAATCTGAGAGATAAATTAAGAGCCTGGTTGTTATAATCTAGGCAGGAAATACAGAATCTGAACTAAGGCAATAGCAAGTGAAACAGGAAGCAGGGAGCAAAATCAAGGCATTCTGAATGAAAGGTTAACATGGTTAGATAAAAAACTAGATGCAGGGCGCCTGGCTGGCTCAGTGGAAAGAGCGACTCTTGATCTTGGGGTTGTGAGTTTGAGCCTCACATTGGGTGTAGAGATTACTTTAAAAAAAATAAAATTAAAAAAAAAAACTTAAACAAACACAACTAGATGCAAAAGGGAACTGAGCTCCAGAGGTAGCAAAGACAGATGGGGAGACAGTTTTTACAGTACTCTGAAACTCAGCTCTGCCACATACCAGCCCCATGACCAAGGACAAGTCACTGATTTCCCCAGAGGCCCAGTTTCCTGATCTACACTATGTGGAATGAAGTTACAATACTTACCTTGTGGGGTACTGCAAGGAATAAAGAGATGATCCACATCAGTGCTTCTCAAATAGAGTTGGAGTTGATTTTGCCTCCAGTAGACATTTGGCAATGCCTGGAGACACTTTTTATTGTGAAGCCTAGAAGGGGACTGAGGTGTATCTCCTGACATCTAGAGGGTGGAGGCCAGGGATGCTGTTAAATATCCTGTAATGGACAGGACAGCCTCCCAGAACAGAGAATCATCCTGCCCAAAAAGTCAATAGCACTGAGGTTGAAAAATCCTGATCTACGTAATTTGCCTAGCTTAGAGTCCCAGTAATTTAATGGTTGCTGATTGATGGTTACTATAAGGTTTTAGTTTTGTGTGTGGGTAGAAGGCAGAATCATTGATCATTAACCAGGAGGAGGGACAGGTTTTTGGCAAAGGTGAAAGACTTTGATTTGGAAACTGTTGGGTTGCAGGTGCCTGCAGGGTGAGAAAGGCAGTTCAGGAGCCCACCAAAAAGTGGATCTGGGTGGTCTTTCTGGAGGCCATCTGCTTCAGAATGTCGTCTGCTAGGAAAAATACCACTGGAACTTTTGTTTCAGAGAAGAAAGCAATTGTTTTGGTGATTGGATTCAAATGGAAGATTGAATAAGGGAAAACCAGTTCTTCTAAAGCAGCTAGTAATAGTAATGCTGACTTCAAGAATACACTTAGTTGACCGTTATTTATTTTATAACCCAACCATGTAGCACACCAAAGTTTCAAGCATGCGATAGATGGGACGCTTGGGTGGCTCTGTAGGTTAAGCGTCTGCCTTCATCTCAGATCATGATCCCAGGGTCCTGGGATTGAGCCCCGCATCAGGCTCCTTGCTCAGCAGGGAACCTGCTTCTCCCTCTGCCTGTCGCTCCCCCTGCTTGTGCTCTCTCTCTCTCTCTCTCTGACAAATAAATAAAATCTTAAAAAAAACCCCAAAAAACCAAGAGATAGAAATAGAGGATAATAGGCCAAATCTAAATTGCTTAATCTGTTCATTTCTCATTTTGCTACATTCTCAAAGTATTAAAAAATGTGACTATGATTTATTACTGCAACAGATATCTACAGGCTCCTTCAGGATACTTGAGAGTGGGTCATCTACTTGTGTATCACATATGCTCTTACATTATGTGTATTTGTGTGAGAATGTAGGCTGGCCTTTTACTAGGGTTGCTCAGAGTTGTGTGCCTCTGAGCAATGGCTGGTGGAGAGAAGCATGGTGAGTGGAGAAGGTTCAGGATCCCTACCACTGCCTCAGCCAGAGTATTTGAGCCCTTATTTCTTCCATGTACCAGATTGCTGCCTGATTTTGTTTGTACAAGGGTTCCATGGCTTTAAAAGTTCAACAAACCATTGTACTAGACAATTACCTGTATGTTTTAAGGGCTATGGGGGAATCCCTGGAATCCAGTGAGATTGTTAAATTGCCTGAAATTTGGCCAATTAGAGATTCCTTTAGGAAATGGTTTTCTTTTAAAATGTAACAGCCTCCAGGAAATAATCATTTATTCATTCCTTTAGGTAAAGGCGTTTAATCTAAGCAAAAGACATTTTGGTTGGGGAAGAGGGAACCTGAGTGGAAAGAAAAGGAGGATTCAAAAGGATGTACATAGGAAAATGTTGTAAAATGAGACATTAATAGGAAATGGCAATTCGGGACTGCAAGGAGCAGTTTTAGTCCAATGCACTAGGATAAGATTAAAGATAGGGGTGCCTGGGTGGCTCAGTCATTAAGCGTCTGCCTTCGGCTCAGGTCATGATCCCAGAGTCCTGGGATCAAGCCCTGAGTCGGGCTCCCTGCCTGGCAGGAAGCCTGCTTCTCCCTCTCCCACTCCCCCTGCTTTTTTTCCCTCTCTCACTGTGTCTCTCTCTGTCAAATTAAAAAAAAAAGATGAAATCAAAAAGGAACTTCACCAATTTGGGCTAATGCTAACATGTCCAAGTATGTCCTTTGTCTTCCAAGGAAATAAATGAAAACATATATCTGATTTTAAATTAGTTGCCTTCCATTACTCTTTCATTATTGTGAATAAATACATAGAGAGACAGAGATTCTCAGCTGGTTCCTGTCAGAAAGTGTCTCAATGAAAATCTTAGTTTCTGAAAATTCTAAAAAGGCATACTTCCTTAAATATGATTCTGCAGTAAAAAGTTAGATTAATCCAATAGATTGAGGACAGCAGTTATTTTAAAGCTTTGATTTCTCTCTTCAACAAAGGAACTATGTAAACCTCACCTACTACTAGGCATCTCCTCATTTTAAGCATGAGTGTGTGTGTGTGTGTATAAGCTGATTTGTGTTGTGGCAATTTCATATTCTTTAGAAATTCTTTAAATTTATGCCATAAAATCATGGAATGCTACAATTATAAGTCACCTTAAGTTCATGTAATAAATGTTTATTGAATGATAAGCATAAACTTCTCACTTTGTCAAACCCAGGAGCTACAGTGGGGAACAGACTGAACCTTGTTATGCTAACTCCACATTTAAGATCATCTAGCCACCTCATTTTAGGTGGGAGGAAACAGAAACTCAGAGAAGTCAAGTGATTTGCTAGTATTGTGTGACAACTTAGCAGCAGAACCAGAACTTAAATTTAGGTCTTCTGCGTTCATGTCTAGCTTTCCACATTTTGGAAGATGATTGTGACAATATATATCTTTTGACAAAATTCAGAATTTGGAATGCTTTTCATTTGTTTTAATTTTCCCCATGAGCAGCTGTGTATTTTTTTCCAAAAACAGTTATGTCAAAGTCTCTAAACCTATTAGAATCAACATTAATAAAAACCATTGCACTCCAACATTCATCCCTATAATTACATGGTCAAATTGTCTTTATAGTGACAGTGCTTTACACAACTTGTCAAATTTTCATGAATAGCAAACATGCTAAATTTGGGTTAGAATTCCTTTTTCTTTAACAGCATTAAAATAGTGAGCTTTAGGACGCCTGGGTGGCTCAGTCGTTAAGCATCTGCCTTCGGCTCAGGTCATGATCCCGAGCTCCCGGGATCGAGTCCCACATCGGGCTCCCTGCTCGGCAGGAAGCTGCTTCTCCCTCTCCCACTCCCCCTGCTTGTGTTCCTGCTCTCGCTATCTCTTTCTGTCAAATAAATAAAATCTTTAAAAAAAAAAAAAAGAGCTTTATAGTGTAGCATAAAGAATTCTACTTAGCAACGGAAAGAGGCAAATTTGTTCGCTCTATTTTTCTGATGACAATGAGAACTGTCACTTGGGGAAATGAG